CATATTAAGCGATTTCACGCGGATCCTAAGATACATTTTTTATTTGGAACATTAAAATTTATATGAAATCTTGACAATTCATTAGGTTAGGTGTGTAAATAGCCGAACGATTATATGATTCATGTAATAAAAACTGTTCGGATAGTGGATCTAAGCCATCTTTTACAAAATGCGCATAAATGGCAAGACTAGGATAGCGATAGTCATCCTTATGAACCGACGTATTGTTCGTAACTAGGTAGACGATTACATGCTGACTGCCAATTGCAGAAAAAGCTATGTAAGAACTTAAATTATAACCATCTCTCGGAGATTTGATGGATCCATTTGATATAGGTGTAGCGATGCCATCAATTTTTCTAATGATATAAGAATTATTAGCATTTACTGTAAATAATTCATTAATTATATTTTGTACAAAAACTTAAAAAAAACTTACGAGAACGCATATTTTATCCATTTTAGATCATTAGATTTTTTGTATGTGATTATAAAACTTTTAGAAATATCATTATAGCCTGTAATAGAATATTGATCACCATCATCCGAATGATTGAAATGATCAAATAATATAATATTGCTACAAAAAAATATAATAAAATGCATAAATACTGTATTGCGATATTGTATTAGAGGAAAAAAAAAGAAGTAAAAATATTGTATATTTACTCTGTTGTAATTTTTCCTTCGAAATTTATAATAGATCCGTGCATGGTGATATCATCTTTTATGTCATATCGACTGTAATAGATTAAAATGACATAATTTGTTGCTAAAGAATAACTATCCTCAATAATCCAGGCACTTGAATTTTTAAAATTTATTGAATCCTGATAATTTATAGTGCTTATGCTTCCATTTTGATAAACGAGATGTAATAATTCTGGATCATCTTTTCTCGAGGTAACTATTAAAAGTTTTCCGTCATCGTATTGTCGAACAGTAACCAGATCTCCATATTTAGTTAGATCGTACTTGATTTCATTTGCTTCGCTATGATTTATTACCAAGATAACCAAGAATATTATTACCACAAGATGTAAAATTAAATATCTACAATTACCCATGATAAAATAAAATGATTTCCTTTTCTTTTTCATGTAATGTTGAGTATATATATGTAAGGATGAGTATATAGCAAATATATATAACGTGCATTCTCCATAAACATAACCATAATAATGACTAAATTTTATGCTATATATGCACACACAGGACATGACACGCAGGAGCCAGTGTAACAAACGTACATTAAACAATTAACATTATATTATGTTACATATCAAAAAATGGAAATTTAGAGGGGTTGCATTTAGGGAGGTCTTCCATTTAACAGTTACACTAGTTCTGTAGTTGTATGTATACCTCGCAACTTAATTTGTCAAATTTTTGATGTGCACTCAAAAATTTCCTTAATAACAGATGTAAACGTTAAATAAGGGGATAAAATAGTAAACAAGAATGCTATATTAAACACAAAACATAAAACGGTAAACACAAAACATGAAACAGGCATTATTATATTGTGTATAAAAATAATGAACATACATAAAGCGAGATATCAGAGAGAGAACCTTTGCTGAATTTCTTAAAAGATCAATGGATATTTATAAAACTTCGAATTTTGTTATAGTGCTTTTTGTCATAATAATCATTTCGTTATCAAATTATGGTGAAGCATATAATTTTAGTGAATATGGGAATATAACAAGGGTTTTCCAATTTGATGATGAAAAGCTCCTACTGTCTACGAAAACTACAAATGATGTGAATTTATTGCATTTAGTTTATCCAAATGGAAGTATAGTTCCCATAAATTATCAGGACAACATAAATTTTAATAATAACTCCGAGTGGATTTTAGCATTTTGTTTCCCTTTGTCAACAGACTATATCATAATTGTATATTATGATCGAAAAGAGCCATTAACAGACATCTCAGTACATGGGACAATAATAAATTTGCAAGGTAAAATAACTACAAAGTAGGTATACTTATTGTATCTCTTTATTTTTTTTATACTTTTATCATTATTCATAAATAACACACTTATTTTTTAGAGACATGATATTACTTCGTCATTATAATCATAGTTCAGACATCAAATACTTTATTACAACAAATTATCCAAGTTTCCTGGTTTCATATCCAACGGATGATTATCTAAATTGGACAAAATTTGCTTACTCGTAAGTAGCAGGCGTAATTACAAAATTTTTGAAATTTTTGTCACTGCTAGATTACAAGACCCTTTGTCAAATAATTTTGATCAGCGAAACCTATGATGGTTGATGAAATTTGACTTTTTTATTGCATAAGCTAAATTACATAACATAAAATTAAATTGTAAAAATTGATGTTAAATTAATCAAAACTCAATTTTTATGATCTTTGCGCGAAGATATCTCGACACTCACCAAGCCAAATTTGATGAACTTTTTTTTTATTTGAATTCTAAGAGTCTGTAAAATTCAAATAAAAAAATGTTTGTTGAATTTGGCTTGATGATTGTCAAGATATCTTCGTTCGAATTTTTAAAAAACTCAATGCCTACGAATAGAAGCTGCA